AGACAAGGCTGGACTCAGAATTCCGGCGGTCCAGGCTCCATTTCTAGATCAGGTGAGCAACCCGGGACAGATAGACAAGGCGGCTGGGTTCAGGGTTCCGGTACAGTGTCGATTTCCAGATCAGGTGAGCAACCCGGGGCAGATAGACAAGGCTGGGCTCAGAGCTCCGGCGGTCCAGGCTCCATTTCTAGATCAGGTGAGCAACCCAGGGTAGATAAACGACCAGGCTGGGTTCAAAGCTCCAGTACAGGCTCGATTTCCACATCAGGTGGGCAACCCGGGGCAGATAGACATGGCTGGGTTCAGAGTTCTGGCAGTTCAGGCTCAATTTCGAGATCAGATGTGCAACCCGGGGCAGATAGACAAGGCTGGGTTCAGGGTTCCAGTCCAGGCTTGATTTTGAGAATTGATGAACAAGCCGGTACAGACAAACAAGGCTGGCTTGAGAATTCCGGCGGTCCAAGCTTGATTCTGAGATATGGTGAGCAACCCAGGGTGTTTAGACAAGGCCGTCGACTACCTCCAAGTATGACGGGTGTTGATGAAGGAGGTGCATCTGCATCTGCATCTGCTGACGGCTTTCCAATTAATATCACGACGTCAGGTGAATTTGATCGAACTGGTGATTCGGCTGGCAGTTCTGAGGCAGCACTTAACATTGACATTGGGCAACTTGAAAGAGAAATCAATGCAGATGCTCGTGAAAGTCGGCGGATCGTATTCAAAGGTTCGGGACTTCCGGCTGACCAGCATTCAGACTGGACTAGCACATCGTCGTTCGGCACTCCAAGCTGGACAACAACCTCGTGGACGTCACGTTCCACCAGCACAAGCTCAAGTACCACTCCTCAAATGACTACAACCAGCCCCCCTACCACGACTAGTACCACAACTACAAGCACTACTATCCCCCCGAGGACCACAACCATCCCCCTTTTAACCACCACTAGTACAAGCACCTCGACCACTACCCCGACTACAACTTTGGCCATAACCACAACTACAACACCTTTCATGATCGTATGTCCAAATGTAAGTTAACTTTCATGATTCTGTTCGTATGTCCAGATGTAATTTGATTCGTTTTTTCATAGATGTCACAAACGGTGCAAACAGATCACTGAACTCCTATGCTGCAGGGTACTCGAACCACTCCGAAGCAATTCATGCCTATGGACAGTGTCTCGATCAAAGGAAACGGAAAGCAGAATCGACGGGACCGTGGTGTGATGCGGAAGGAGGAATGCGAGAGCATAGCTCAGCGCGAATGTCTACAGGGTTATTTGATGGCCGACAACGGTACTTGCTTTACACTGGACACGGTCGACGGCTTCACCAGGGGGGGTGAGCCCAATATTGAGGACAGTTTTGTCAGTGACGAAGTGGACGCATCTTTTGTGCGAAGTAAGTTCTCGATTTTATTCACCATCCACGAAGATCATATAAACCCTGCATCACATTCCTACGTTCCAGTAGACCAAATTTAACTTATTGCTGAAATATTTTCAGATCTACGCAAGCGATGTGATCCAAATAAATATAATCACTTCCAATATATATTCAAATCTGGTCCTGAGAATATAATGTACTCTTTCATACCGGTACGATCAAATACCTTTATTGATAATAATAATAATAATAATAATAATAATAATAATAATGAATCAATAAGCAATGCCACTGATACATGGGATCGTTATCACCAAGTGTAACGTTTCAGGTCAATAAATCCATGTATGCAAAAATGGGCTATAAAGGTCGTCGTAGTCGTTATTCGTGTTATTACTATCGCCGAAAGCTTTGCCAGGAGACGTGCCCTCGTTCGCATACATTCTTTGTGAAATCTGCAAAAGATTTGGAAAATGCAGCAAGTGCGTTTCGTTTTCATGCAATTTCATTGATTCACAAAACAAAACTCAATCAAAAACTCATCATTCAACCCTTCAAAGTGACCCATCTCAAAACATTTCAATCTCTAAACCCAATTCAATCCCGAATCACAATTTGAATCGTCTCAACCAAAAAAAAAATCCTTCAACTAAATACGATAAAATCGTCTACATCAAATTTCTATGTTAATCACATATGTCTGATCGAAAAAAAGATACAAATCGTTTCATTCGTCAAAAAAAAACACTCAAATTCAAAAAACATCCTAATGATAGCAGTTGATCAAAGCGCACTGATTATAACGATCATAATAATCATAATTCAAATCATCATAACAATAATAATAACAATAACAAATCCAAACTTTTTTCAATACTCCATCATAAATTTCCACTGAAACGAAGCATATTTCAAAATGTGCCTCAGCACTCGTCCAGTATTGTTGCACTTCTCTAAAAGTACACCCATTTCCACGGCAATGCAATAAATCTTTGCCATCAAATCCCCAGCATCCAGCTGTTCCAATCTCCACTTAATTTATGATCCCAATACCTTAATATAAATCATCCGACAGCTAATCTTTCCACCTGATAGCAGTACGCAAAAATTCTTCCCTGCAAAATTTCAAATTGCAGATCACTTTCTAACAATATATTATCACGTTGATCTGTACACTTTTGCCGTTTCTATACTAATTGCCCGCTGTTCTTTACTAATTAATGTCTTTACATTACTAATTGGGAACACTTGCTGCCCTCTTACGATCCAGATTCTATCATATTTCTATGAAAAGACATGATTACAAATGGCATATCTAACCGAATTGGCACCCTCGTGAAGCGAAACAGTCCAAATTTTAGCCGCAATCGCCGAATACAATCGGATGGCACCCCCCGAGATACCGTCGTTACGTCAGTTCAATATGGGATTCTATTTCGCCCCGAATAATCGCTCAACCTGGGAGGATGGATCACCGTATCACCCGACCGTGTGGCCCAGTTTTCCTGGCTCGACACGTCGGATTAACGCGCATTCTTGTGTTAATTTCAATTATAAGACCGGTCAGTTCTTTCTGATCTGTGCAGATCAAAAATTCAATCGAGAGCTGACCAAAATTCTGATCAAGTTAAACTCTAAATCAAACTTGACCTCATTTCATTGCAGGTAAACCCTATCTCGGTAGTTGTTATGTTGAATATGATGTTGCTCTGTGTGAACATCGTTGTGTAAGTTTTCAAATTCGTTCTCACTTCTATTCAAGTCACTTCAAAAAACCATATTCTATTAAAAACACTCGAACTAAATCATATCAGTTGAGAATTACAGTGAAAAATATCTCAACATATTCAATTTATTTGTATTTGCAAAAAATAATTTTCAGACAAATTGCTAAACTGGATTCATTTACTGGAATACTATCAACAAGGATATGCATAACGAAGTGATCAGTTTCATTTGTGCTTCCTGAAATGGATTGTTGAAGATTCAACTTTCATAACTAGTGATTGATACCTTAAAAACCCTCCTCTACACCGTCTTCCAGCCAAACTCAAACCAAAATTCCGTCTCCAAATCGACTAGTTTCCCAAATCAAAACGATCTAAGGCACTAAAGAAGTGCAGAATCTATACCCTATTGGATAAACTCCCTCCTAACTAGGTTGACTAATGAACAGGGAAGAATTTCGTACTGATTTTGAGCTAATTAATCTTAAAACGGATTTCGATCTGTAAACGTTCTAGCAGATTTCGTTACAGATTAATTCAACCCAGAAGTCAGAACCTAGACCCTGAGCTCTGTGCATTAAAAACGGGAATTGGGGGTCAGTCTTGGTTTTTGAACTCTTCTTCAAGGTACCAAAACATAAAATGAATAGCAGTAGCCTTTTTTTGCAGCTTTTGTATGATATTTATTTGATAAATATTCATTTATTTGTTTTGACATGCACTGATTATGCACTGTTATTGTACTGATAATCATATTGAAAAATCGTGCTTGCTTGTCATATAATCTTAATCGTATTTATTATGCCAATTCAAATGTTATGATGAAGGAAATATTAAAGTGAATCGGAAAAAAACTGGACTTTATACAGGTGAACCCAATTTCGGGGCAAATAAAACGTAAAATATCGAAGTTAGAGAGCTTATTTGTGTTTAGATGCATTCAGTGCCTCATTTCGGTTCGATTGGTACCAAATTTGTGATATCTTCAAAAAAGGACTCCAACGGCCGAAAATCTTGAAATGACGATTTTTGCGATTTTGGGGGTCTCGAAACGCGGGTTTGTGTTGGTTGATCGGAATAGTTCATGTGATATACTTGTTCAAACGGTCGAGGTCATCTCAAAACCGTTTAAAGCGTCTCGAAATGTCAATCCGGAGCTGAGATATGATATCTCGAAAATCCGGATTTTGAGATCGTAAGGGGTTTGATCAGGGTTTTTCGCGGAAAAATTTTTTTGCTCCTTTTTCGATAAATTTGGTACCAATCGACTCGGCTTGATGAGTGCATCACAAAAAATACAAAATTATGGCATTTCGAGAGACCTGACGTGAGAAAAATGCCTCCAGAAGAGCATCCGAACCCCATGCTGCAATTGTTTCATACGATTGCTACAATGCACTGCGGGTCGCAGGTTCGATTCCGCACAGCGTCAAAGATTTTTGCCATTTTTCGGTTGCATCTTTCCAAAAACTTTTCGAATCCGCAAAATTTTTGCCATTATTCAAACGAGCGATTTTTTTTGAACATCGATTGGCTCTCGCAACGAATTGATGCCATATCGAACTTTGAGTTTCAACGTAACGCTTTATTCCTTGATATGCTTAACTGGTTCAACCTTACGGATTTTTTTGTGCCTTCCGGAATATCCGGAAACTGTGTCGGTTTGCGTGAGCCGACCTATAATTAATTCCAGGTCTTCTGCGGGTTTTCGACCTTTTGCTCGTTAGCCACCGTTAATCAGTCAGTGGTTAATGAGGAATTTAAGGACATCTGACAAGATTAGATATCCACTTAATATCACATTCATCACAATTAGAAACACATGAATAGTTGTTTGATTTCACATGAAGGCAAATAGACGCCAACATTCAATCTCGCGGGTGGTCACATTTCGCTGCGGGATCCTACGAGCACATTTTCAAATTGGGTGCAAAATTTTGAGGGTTTTTTGCCTATAATTCTGCCGAAAATGCACCGAATCGGCACTGTACCCGTCAAAAATATCCAGAAATTGGTCCCAAATCCTCACCGAAATCAAAATCCAAAATGGTCCAGTGCTGATCGAGTTTCAGCTCAAAATCCGTATCTGCACGTAGGCAAAAACGCATTTTGCCGACCCCTCACTTTTCGCACTTTTCAGTCGCCAAACCCTTGTGCCGGCCGATTGTTGGCAGTGAGCCGGGACGCGTCGTTGCGCGCTGCGGTGCGGCAGCGGTTTTCTTTCAATTTTAATTGTAATTTTTAATTAATTGATGGTAGTAATGATGTATTTATGAGTTATATTTGTATTTTTCGTACTAATTAATGTTGCTCTTTATCTATTTGTTAAGTTGCCCCAATCTGACGCCAGTTAAAGCAATTCGAATCACTTTGAAGACACTCAGAATTATTGAACGCTCAATTTGAAGTCTCTTTAAACAGTACTTTTGTATGAATCTCAATACTTTTTATCCGTAGACGCAGATTATTTTTTAGTCATGCCCTCTAACACCTGTCTCCCTTAGTTTGTAACCTAGAGCTGAACCTGATACCAGTTTGGAGCAAAAACGAAGTGTGAAGTGTTGTTCGTTGTTGCTCCAAATTAACTTCAGGTTGAGCTTCCCTCCTCTTTCCCTAAACATCTTTTCGGGTTTGAACTGCGAACAACCAGGCCACTTCCCCAAAAATCATGCCGTTCCCACTCGTCCAACACATCCCTGAATTTCAGCCCCATCCGGAACCTTCCCTAACCATAAGCTCCAGCCAAACCCTTCCCGTAAGCCAAACCAAACCCTTCTCCATACCAAACAACCCTCGTGTTCTTTGATCGAAATGAATAAGGAATCCGTTATGTCTGTTCATTTTTATGCTCGTTATGGTGCGTCGTTGAGCGATGATGTCTTTATTTTTTTAAAACGTATCAAAATGATTCACATATAATCACACTGCATCACATACAATCTATAAACTGCGTTACAATAATCATTCGCACAAAAATATACATCCTCAGAGCAATAATAAAAAAAAACAGTGAACATTAAAACACTAAACAATAAAGAATACAATTCTATTATTCACAAAAAACGACGTTGCATTATTTATTCACCCTTCTTTATTATTAACGGCCCGACGTTGTCACCAGTGGCTGCGTTATGCTTGTTGTGGCTTCCATCGCAATAAGGAAACTGGAATGATGACTGCACTGACGATTTGAGACTCGGAATTGGAGTGAACTCGTAAATCAAAACTCATTTCGAAACATTTACAATTAATCCGGAAACAAAGTTCGGAAAGTGGGACGAAAATCAACCTTTTCGCTTTTCCAACAGCGGCAGAAAACCTTTTTGTCACCGATATCTTCCATATCGACTGTGTCCACCACCTAAATTGGCTCAAACTTTCAAATTTTCGTGCTTAAAATAAACGCAAAGCATTTTTTTACAATAGACATACAGAATATCCAGTGAAACGCTAAAAACGTTGATAAGTCAAAAGTGACCTTATCTGTGGACAATTTTATTCTTTCGTTCACTTTTGCACGTCTTTTTGTCACTTGCACACCGATGAAATAGCCGATGAGCGCACTTCCCAACACAACACCTGCGGCATAGAGCGCTACTTTCGAGCGGCAATCGGCTGGAATTAATTCACTCGCTTAAAACGAAAAAGTAAGCTTAATTTTAACTGTAAAAAGCAGGAAAACAATGTGGCAGCAGGCAGTAAATGGCAGTAAATTTAGGCGAAGGGTATTTGCAAAGCAAAGTATTATGATGCGCAGCACTTACGTTGAGCAGATACATCCATCTGACTATGAGTGCTTGCCATTTTTATGATGAAACGTTTTCTGTTCTTATTCAAAGCACTAAAACGATGAATACTAAATGTTTTTCGTTGGGAAGTGAACGAATGAAATGAAATTACTCGCTTCAACGAAATGGGAAACACACATTAGGTTGTAAACGAATACAGCGCACACAATTTGATAGGTTCATTTCGATAGCATTTCAACTCACCTAGACTGACTTGTAGGGATATTTCTATGAATAGGAGTAGAAGAAGAGCACCGAATAGAGTTGGAAAGAGTGGTTTCAACTGAGTGATAGTTCTAGATAAGTTCATTCTGAAAGACTGTTGTAAGGTAACGGTATTACTGCTGCTGTTGTCTGTGTTTAAATATTATTTTTACTGGTTAACAGGGCAGGGCAGTTTTGTTACACACTTTTTATAGTGAGTGTTGCAGGCTTCAGTAGATAAGATCATTAATTCCTAAGAATGAAAACCGGTTTGGAATTATGAAAACATCACAATTCGAAAACCCATCAACGAAATTGGAAAGAAAATCGAGTAAAGCGCGGAAAATAAAGGGTAAAATTTCTAGTGAATGTAAGGTCGGACAGGAGGGAGTTGCCACGCGTGTCTCAGGAACTTTGCCACACAGCAGAGTTTCAGGATATGACTTCAGCGGGTGAGAGCAAGTTGCCATAAAAAGACTGAGAATCAGAATTTAAAAAAAAAATTCGAGAATCTGTTATGGATTAAGCTGAACTAGAGCGCAGTCTGAAGTAAATGCTAGATAAAATGAAAGCGGACACCGAAATCAACGTGTTCACTTCATGCCTTCAACAAATAAACTCACTTGACACAAGAAAAAAGCTTTACTCAGTACCTTATAAGTACCTCAGTACCAAGGCCGTACTCATATCCGACCGGATTCAAGCTGCGGTTCCGGCTTAGTTGCGATTTATACAGATGACTGGACACCACAACATAATTTCAATGAACCGCATGAAATGCAACTGCAATGACCGTATTGATTCCATCCACTTTAAGGTGCCAATGAAGCATGTGATTTGATGACGACTTACACTCGATATTTCAGTTCAAAAATTTGAGAATGTTTTTTAAATTACATAGACTCGAACAAAACTACCGCATTGCAAAGCATAAAAATGCATTCTGAACATGCTCATAGTCAGTTTTGAGTTAACCAAACCATTTTCATGTGACATGTCACAATAAATTGTTAAAAAGTACTTCCTCTTCTTATATATGTAAAATTTCTTATTTCGTTCATGAAAATGTCACTCGTTTTTGATTGATTGCTCAATATAAAGGATAATTCCGTAACTTTATCATGTATATTGTATCCTTACTTGTAGATAAATCCAGTAGAATGCAACGAATCATCTTTGCAGAGAGAGATACTCAATAGTCTTGCAATTGTAACTTTTAATACTTTTTGAAAATTCAAGCAGCACTATTTACAGTTAGTTGATTATTTTGAAAACAAGGAAGTTATAAGAAGAAAAACGCAACGGAACGAGATACTTGAAGCGATGTGAATGGGGGTAAATATGATCGTTTTGAGCGGTTCAAGCAGCTGAATGAGGAACAAGGAATGCGATCTTTGAAGGTGCGCTTATCATTTGACAGTGGTGTTGTTATCAGTTATCAATTGCTGCTTTGATTGCTTCAATGTTTGAACAGAATGACGGCAGGTGAATTGCTGCATATTTCGCTTTCTGATTCATGCTCTGTGAGGTACTGAACGAAATTTGATCAGAAACCAGAAAGTACTGATCACATATAATCATTTCAATCGATCAGTTTTGATCTGAGGATAGATCAAACAGTATTTTGTTTTGGAGGTAGGGTTCAGTTGATGTGATTGATAGGAGAGCATTTGATTTAGGCTAGAATTGGGGTGTTAGAAGCTTGAACTTAAAGAATTTGTTGTAGGTTTGTAGAGAGACATAAAGCATAAAGTGTTGCTAAACCATTTGAAGTCTTATCATTGAACATAAACGACAGCAATCAATCAGTGCTTTTGATCACATCTGATCACGAATCGATCTGTCTGATCATACACAGTTTGATCACTGGATGAAGCAAATTGTTGCATAGATTTTAGCTGAAGAAAAGCATGATATGATATCCCTCATAATCAGTTTACATCAGTGGTTTTGTTATGTTCATATTACTCAAATCATTACGTCGATTTTAACTTTTAACTGTTGAAGCTTAATGATGCAGTTGTATGTGAACATTGCTTATAAAAATGTATTCAACTGAATACATTGTGATTCATGTTATGTTCATTAGGTTCATTTGAAATCACCTGAATAATTAGTGAGCGAGAGTAAAACTTTGATGCATCTTTTTTATAGTGATCGCAGTTTGATTTACGTTTGTATCTACAGCTCTGATCAAATCATTGAATTCACATGTAAATATTGATGAATTCGTTTCTATCTAAAGCCCAGATCAAATCGTTTATATATAAATATTGATGAATTCCCATCAGTATAAAATTTTATAAATAGATTTCTCATTTCTACTGGAGTGATTCGTTTCGGAAGGTTCGAGGTGTAGAAATCTGATTTGGAATCAGATTTTCGATGTTAGTCGCTCGATGCTGATATCAATTAAGGCGTTGACTGAGAGCGTTGATTTGATTAGCTGCTGCACTTTAATTGCAGAATACCAGCAGCTTCAAGATGGCTGACTTTTCGAGTGACTTCGTGGCACGTGTTCGATGTGATATACATGGAATTATTTGTGACCGAATCCTAAAATTTAATAATCATTGACTTGACTTGACTTTACAGTTCAGTGTGATGCTTTTATAAGATTGATGCTAGCTGCTAATCAGTTAATGTGATAATACATCGTTGTTGTGTATAGTACATCGTCAAAGATTATGCAATTTTCTATTAAGATATTGCTTTGGAGCGTTTTTATTTTATGGCCGTGATGCAGCGCCGATAATGGCTGGTAGCTGATAAGGATCGATGAATTGTAAGACGTAAGGCATGATAGTAATGATAAGTCATAGAAAACAAATGAAAACGCTCGTAATATTCAAGCCATTAGCTTATCAGTAACATTTAATTGGGTGATATTATGGCTCACGAGTGTGATTGTATATTGCCATGCTGATGTAGTTTTGTTGATTGCTCATCTTGTTTCGATTTTAATTCATTTGTGTCTGTCTCGCATTTTGATGACTGATTCATTTGTGTCTCTCAATTTATGGCTAATCCAGAGAGTAATGAGTAATCCAGGAATTACCCAAGGATAAGATGGGTAATCCAGAGAGATGGCTTCTTGAAAAATACCTATAATCGTAGGAAATCTTGTAAAGAGCTTACGTTTAGCCTCTTGATGGATTCGGACCTTTGGTCTTATCCAGAGGCTTATATTTCATCTATTAATAGTACTTATGTGATGTTGTTTTATTGGATTATTGTTGAATATGGTCATATATAGATATGGTCATGGTTTTGTGTGGTGTTTAATTGATTATGAATGTGTTGCTTGAAAAATTTTGTGATGAATTTCGAGTCTTATATGTATGTCTCGACGATCGTATTATATTAGTGATATTGTTGAATGATTTGAGTGTATCGATTGATTGATTGATTGATTGATAACAGACGATCACATATGAATGTAAATAAATGCGATTGCGTTTTTTGATCAATGGCTTTTTGATTTATCAGTAAGCAGTACAACAAATCATACAAAGCAACTGCATTCGTCAACTCACCTCATTCAAGATGATCAGCTTAAAATTAAGTGAATGAAGCAGCTTATAATTAATTAACTTTGTAGTTTGTCTGATGATCTTGGAAGAGAGAATGACTTTGATCAGAGAGTATTTTGCAGAGATTACCCTGAATGTTTTCTTGAAATCGCGAGTGGATTTTCAGGGTTTTAGACGCGAATTGGACTCGCGAAATTTGCAGATTAAATCCATCCGATTATGAGTAGCAGTGTCCACAATCGTCGGGGATGTTCACAGGAGGGTAGCGGTGTTAATATAGCACTGTCGGATATGGTAGAACAGATGAGATACGCGAATGGAAGGTGGGTGCAGACCGTTGGTTTTGATAAGTTTCTAAATGATTACAGTTCAAGATTTGATTTCAATGGTTCTGATTTGAACTGAGGCAAAATGAGTGGACGACATTCAGGATGCCGGCAAGGAAAACAACAGGCCGAGGAAGAGGCACAGGAGCAGGACTAGCAGCTGGTCTACTACCGTGGCCTCCGTTCTTGAGATTTGTAAGTTTGCGGCCATGTGCGGATATGACTAACTATATTCCGGATATTGGACACCTTTGGGTGCCCAAATCAAAATTTTCTTCCGGCTGGTCAAATTCTTTGTTGATTCGTCCTTGCAATTGAATCTTCGAATGAATAATCCATGAGTGTTGAATGGTAAATTTGAGAATTTGAGCTAATCATGATCGAATTTAAATTCAGTTTCTTTCAGTATCACTACGCTAGTGGTCTGGATTATGCACTAATCGCTGCTGGATTACTCTTAGCCATAACACAAGGCCTATTCAGCGCGTGCACGTCGGTGATCTTTAAGGATCTCATCGATGCTTTGTCGGGTGAACAGGCTCTATTGAATCAGGGTTTATCAGCCGCCGCCCACGGTTTCTTATCATGTCAAGAGAATGCTTTAACGGCCATCTACACTTATGTGGGTTGTGGGATTGTGATACTACTCGTTGCATTTGTACAGGTAAGACAGACAGATACCTGTACTTATCTGCATAGGTAAGTACAGGTAAGACGAAGGATTGCGAATCTGAGTCATTTCTGCGGCAAATTTGCAGCAGCTGTCAATAGAGTGTGGTGATCAAATAGAGCAATCAAATGCAAATGCAATCAATTTTTTGCATAATGTCACAAATGATTAAATATTGATAACTGAAGCTCAAATGCAATTAAAGTAAAAACTTTTTGTTAAGGCGAAAAAAAGGAATACATTGAAACGGTGTTGATTCATAGAAGTGGAATGTACTTGATTAGCAGTGAACGGCATTTTTATTTTATTACATTCGTGATAGATGCGATGTGATATTGGGAGTGATATTGTGATAAGATGTGTGATCAGTTTGACGCCCTTCCCAGATGCATTTCTTCAAATTGTCTGCAGAAAAATCAAACATTCCCTTTGGATACGTAATCGAAACTGTCCTTCAAATTTATTTCAGAGGTGGGGAATTGTGGGTAACTGCTGCGGGTAAATGAGCGGGTAATTTTGGGTAACTAAGGGTAATTTGATGAGTAATTGAAATGTATTATCATGCACTTTAGAGTATGTGTTGGAAGTACGCGTGTGAACGTCAAATTGATAAGATCCGTTTGCTGTACTTCAATTCATTGCTGCAGCAGAGCTCAGCATGGTACGACGTCTACGATAAGGAAACCATTTTCGATACGTTCTCGAAGTTAGTTCTCCAGATATAGTAATGATCCAGATCAATCAGGAAGGAGGGGAGGGGTGGCTGATCAATCAAACAATCAATAATCGATGATCAATAAATGTGCTGATCAAGAGATCAAGAGCAATTAAATGCGAATCCATCGTTTCAGTGGTATCGATAAAATCAAAGACGGTATGGGTGATAAAATTGGTATAGTGATCGCCTATACGGTCAATTTTATCGCCTCAATAGTGATCGCATTCTGTTTCAGGTAGTTTCTATTGAACCGTTGGTTGTTTAGGGTTCAAATACCTCATCTAAAGTGCGGGTAACTGCGGGTACTCTTGATTATCTATGGGTAATTCGACGGGTAACTGGAATATAGTTGTGTTGAGCGTCTTACCTTATTATATTTTATTGTTGTTCAAATATGTTGAATCCGTTTGTCTCACTCGATTTCAGTTGGAAAATGGCACTGCTTATGATCGGTTTCGGAATACTTTTGACTGGACTTATCGCAGTCTCAGCTCAGGTTAGCCATGCGCCACTTCCCAACCCATCCAGAGACTACTTCAAGCTTTAAGGCACAGCCTGAAGTCTTGGTCCAGATGGGATAGAATTGAACTGGGCAGTACAATTATTGTATTATAGTTTTATTGCAGTTAGCCTCAAACACAACCTCTATGGAGGCTTTCGAAATAAACGCATCGAATGCGATTCTACAGGAGATTTTTGGAGCGATACGAACCGTTATCGCATATAACGGTCAGGAACGTGAGATTAGAAGGTCAGTCCATGCTCACCACTCAAAATTGAATATGCATGCTTCAGAAGAGCAATAAGAGCACTTATTCTGATCCAGATACCAATTTTCGAAGCAAACTGCCCATACAACTCACAAACTCTTACACATACGCAATTTTTTCACGATTGAATGATGGTTGATATTAGAGGATTTTGGTTTTAATCATGAAAAGCGATTTTGATCAGTAAATTGTGTTGTTTTTGCTGATTGGAGGGAGGTATTGTTCACATTTTGATGGGTTGGTTCGTTCAATTGGAATGTAAAACTGTTTGGCAAGAAATATAGCGAAAATTTGTGGCAAAAATTATTTGTATTTGATTGAAATAACCGCTATTATGGGCATCTATTTGTGGGTATTATTAAATCGTAAGTTATTTCGATGATTGTTTGAGAGCTGCAAGGGCATCATAACAACAAGCAAATTATTGTTCAGATAGTAAATTCGTTCAGGTACAGAAGTAAAATGGATCGTGCCATCGGTTTTGGTATCCGGAGATCATTTATGATCGCTCTGGGGACGGCATTCGTCTATCTGCTTGTCTTCATTGCGATGTCGGTGTTCTTTTGGTCAGTTAAACAAAATCTTGACGAACTGAGCAAGTTCGAAGGAATAAATGAATCAGCCATATTAAGGATTGATGCAGACTATGGATTAATCCAATTGATCCAGATTATCTTTATCATCCAGATTAAGCTTTAGTAGATTATTTTTTTAGAACAAATCTTGAGTAATTGGATGATGGTTTGTTGGTGTGGTTTGTTTCAGGTTAGGTGCCCTAGTGAAATCACGTAATCAGATCAGTGTAGGCCACGCTTTCGGCACTTTTTGGGCGGTTATGAACGCAGCTATAGCGGTTGGTAAGGCATCTACACAACTGCCAGCAATAATCGGTGTTCGACTGGCAGCAGTGCGTATCTTTGATACGATTGATTTGGTAAGATCAGTTGAGGATACGATTTGGCAAAAAATCAGATCAAATCGATCGGATGCGATCAGTTAAATCAGATAGATCAGGGTTTTATTGGAGAATCAGGGTTTGAAACCTAGTTAGATGTGCACTGTAAGATGACAGTTGATTTAGGTGTGCCCGAGAATTGCAGGGAAATGCCCGAGAAGCAAAAAGAGAACGTGGAGCTCAGTTGGACAATGTGGAAGGGGTGATCGAATTGCGTAATGTCATCGATTTGTATCCAGTGGATAGGCGGGTAAAACAGCTTGAAGTGAACTTCAAGGTGTATATTCAATTGTAGAACTCTTGCAACCATCTGAATAGGTGGTTACGGTTACCCATCTGAATGGTTCGATTAGCCGTTTGTTGTTTTAAGGTGCCAGCCCGATCTTCAATAGCCATCGTAGGCCCACCAGACAGTGGTGTGGACGCATTGTCCGCTCTCATTCTGCGCTTTCGTGAACCTGAATCAGGCGAGGTTGGTTTGAAGCTTGATATCTAATCCAAGTGATCATATCAGTCACAAACAATTCAGCATTCTGCGTTGGTATTCAGATGTTCAGATGCTTATAAATCAAGTAACTGTGCTCAAATTGTTAGGTTTTACTCGATGGCTTTCCGATTAGACGTTTCAACAAAGTCTGGTTACGGCAAACAATTGGTTTGATCTCAAATGAACCGACAATTTTCGATGGAACGGTCGCTCACAATATACGATTGGGTAACTGCTCCGCTCTATCTTGTTGTGTGTTTATCACAAATGATATGAGCGATTTTTTGGCTGCTTTTTGGGCGAGGACAGACTCAATCTGGGAGCAAAAAGATTGGTGGAGAGGGGATAAATGCCCAGTAAATGAGTACCAATTGCAGGACGTGACGATCTGAACGACAACGACATGAAATTGCTGTGTCGACACGCTAATGCACACAATTTCATTGATGAATTACCTCAGGTATTTCGACTACTGCCCATTGGCAGTGTTCGCTTATAGCTACTGTTTCCCAAGTGGGTAATTTTCACACAAAAACATTTGCCCACAGAATATCCACACTGCAAAGACGCTTCCCTGGGTTATCTTGAATTGGAGAGAAGAGACATTTGAAGCAACAACGGAATTTTGCAGGGTTATCTGACAGAGGTGGGCATGGGCGGTGTGCAGCTGTCACCGGATCAAGCGATTCGGCTTGCGATCGCTCGTACGATCAGCCGAGATCCTAGGGTGCTACTCATTGATCAGACAAAACCGGTGAAATTTGACGAGTATAGCGGTGTTGAGAATGTTGTGTTGGAAGCGATTGAGAAGGTGTAATGAAACTGAATAGCTTCCGATTTTGTTACAAATTCTTCGCGAAATCTTTATGAAAAATGCACTGTTCTAACTCCTGGAGAAAAGTCATCTCTATGAGGATCAGTTGGATCAATGAATCTGATCAATGAATAACAAATGAGTCTGATCAAATCATCACTTAAATTGGAACTGAATCTGATCAACTGATCACTTGATAACTTGATCGATGTATAGGCATGTCATGGTCGAACCTGTATCACATTCTCACATCGTATTGCACCGATTCGTTCGGCAGACTTTATACTGGTAATGAACAACGGTCAGATTGTGGAAACAGGTCAGTCAGCCTTTAGCTTGCTGCTGATTGATGTGATTGCAAACCTAAAATTGAAACCTGAAATTAAAAATTATGCGATGTGATCTGAAAAAATTATTACGCGATCAGGAACCGATCATGATTTGATCAAGGCGGATGGTGTCTACGCCGCAATGCTTCGCAATGAGATGGTAAATGAATCAACAGGAGAAGATGACGATGGAGGAGAACGTTCCATTGATGTGGCAAAATGTTGGTGATTTTTTTCCCAGTGGGAATTCCAGTCAGTTTCACGGGAAATCCAGAGTTCCTAAATGAATTGCTTGAGTTCAGTGAGGATGAGACGTGAGCAAGGGCAGAGTTCACAAACACAACCAGTGGTGCCGCAATCGAATGGCTCAATCCGAAGTATGGTCCGTTTGTCATGGTCGCTGGCCGATTTATCCGAGCCGGAGAAAGCTGTCGAGGATCTGAAGGTGGCGCCTCACTTGAGCTCTATCATAAACTATGATCCTGCAATAGGTTATCGATTTGATCTGATCAGACTCGATCAGATCACAACAGATCAATAACTGTGATCTAATCTGATCACAGATCAATAAGTAGCCTAGTTTATAGATTGAACGTCGTCATTTCAGGATGATGCTCAACGGCAAAAATATCAACCGGCCAGTTTCGGAAATATCCTGGCGTATTGCCGTGACGAGCGCGCTCTGTTGATATGCGCCATGATCGCAGCCACTCTAAAAGGCCTCATCTTCCCGATTTTCTCTATCATTTACGCATCTGTCTTCTGGGTATGTGCGTCCCACAAGAATCATGATCTTATAATCTTATGATCATGACCAAATCGTATTCAAATAAGAATTGCAAGAACTATTAGCAATTTTATATAGATCACCTCAAATGCGGATGCAATGACAGTTGAATAATTTCTCTAGAAAGATTGAGTGAACTCCAGAAGGTTTTCAGAATCGATTTCGACTGGATTGAATTAAAACTTCACTTACCTCTTACTTATTACTTATCTAGACTTGAATTATTAAATTGACTTACTTAAATTGAAACTTGATCTATTGAGACTTCCCTCTGGATTTCAGTCTCTATCGCAAGCAGCACCATCGTTGGTGTTGAGCTCAGTACGCATCGATGCGGTGCTCTTCTTCGTATTGGGCCTGTTCGCTGGGCTGTTCGCGTTCGTCGAGTCGTTCCTGTTCGGTTGGATTGGTGATTTGATATCCGTGAAAATACGCTATCAGCTACTGTTTCAAATTCTGCGACAAGACGGTGCCTATCTGGATCAAGAGGAACATGCACCGAGTCGTTTAATGATCCTAATAGCGAGAGATGTACCAAAAATACGATTTGGCTTAGATAAAGAGTACGTCTGCGTTAATTTCTCTCAATTCACAGATTTTTTTGTTGTTTCGTGGTGTTCGAAGGGTTGTTGAACCGCACTGCGATGCCTCACGCGAAAACGGCATGCTGAATTACTGGGTAACCTTTGAGTTACCGAATATCTGTGGTCTTCAAGAAGGCGCTTGTGGCTTCGCTGAATTGGCTGCATACAAAAATTTCAGACTCGCTAATGTAATCCAACAAATTTGCACGATTATCGCTGGTGCTATTGTGGCGCTCTGCTATGGCACGGTGCTGGCCGTGTTGGGTATTGTGCTGTCGATTATTTGGGCAGTTGCACAGGGCGTGATCTCGTTTCTGATCAAAATGAACGCCAGAGGTGACGTACGACGGGCCTACTTTCCCGCACGGGTGAGCAAATCAGTCCCCGAGTTGCCGCTGTTGCTACTGCTGCAAGTTCCCGAAAGTCTTTCCTGAATTCTGATTGCAGGAGCTAGCTGCTACCAAACTGTGAATTGGAACGAAGTGAAATGTGAAGTAAGAATTTCTTTCAGTTGGTTGTTCAAGCGGTCGAAAATCATGAAGCTGTGAAAAGCCTGAACCAGCAGCAATACTTTTTGGAGAATTTTCACGATAATATGGGTACTTTGGAAAGGCCGAGATTGATCAGAATGATCATGGAATCGTTGAGCACTGCACTGCAAGTGTGCTTCGCATTCATCAATTTCGCGTGCTTGTATCGTCTTGGTGTCCGACTGATCGAAATCAGCCAATACAGTCCATTTGAGGTTTTCCAGTGAGTGAAACAAACGATTGATTGAGCAGATCAGCTTTTCCTTTTCTGGATCGATCGATTTTCTGATCAATGAGTGGGCGATTTTTCTGATCACAATTTCTGCCTTCGTCTGATCGATCATCAATCAGATCGATTTGATTAAATTTTTCCGGATTCAAATCTGAATTTGGTCTGTCGAACTTAAGATTTGAGATTTGAGAGTGGTCGCTAAAAATGGTTTGAGTTTGATTTCAGAGTAGTTGAGGCTTTGAATTGCGCATCGATGAGTCTGTTTGCATTTCTCGTGTTCGTACCCGAGTACGTGCATGCACGTTACAGTGCTGGACGAATCTTTCAAATGCTACAACAGAAACCGCTAATTGACTGTTATGCAGAGACTCCGAAGCGTTTTGTGAGTGATCATCTTTGATCATCAATATGATCATTTTTGTGCTTAATCTCGTCAATCCAATCCGTCATTCATGATAAGTCAAAATCACTGATGGATAAGGGGATATCTGATAATGCAATTTGAAGTGATCTTGTTTTATTTTCTAGGATATATTCGGAGATATGACTGTGAATCAGTTGCAATTCGCGAAACCGTGCGAACCTGATAAGCTGATTTTGCGCTCTGTTTCCACAACGATTCCTCAGGCAACCACCACTGTGTTTACTGGACCAAAGGGCTACGGGGGTGCGGCACTGATTCAAATCATTGCGAGATTCTACGATCCAACCGAGGGTACTATTGTAGGTTTTTGATCAGATACCGTGATTTGATTCGGTTATTGATCTGACCAGATCTGTTGATCTGACTGATATCATCACTGATCGACCTCAACTGTTGATCGATCAGATATTGCAGAATGTCGATTGTATGGACTTGCGTGAACTGCATATACGTTATTTGCGGTCACAAATGGCACTGGTTACAGCAGAACCATGCCTGTTCAACAGTCTGTCGGTTCGGGAGAATATTGCTTACGGAATCGAAGGTGCTTCTGATCAACTCATACAGGAGGCTGCCCAACGTGCCAGTGTTCACGATTTCATACAATCGCTACCATATGTGAGCTTGAACTGCTGCTTATTTGAGTGATCGATATCTAATTTTAATTCGAGAATAAGACTGCTATCCTTACTGATCATGATCTTTGTTCAGGTGTTATTTCAGTGTTTAGGTGGTTAAATGTGATCACAATCAGCATTACTGTGTACAGTTTTAGTATCTCATGATCGTACTGATCAATCAGTTGTCGCGCTGATCTGATCAGCCAGCATGATCTGACTAGATCGCACCGATCATAGATCCGCTGATCTGTTGTTTTGACTGATATTGATCGATCGCATTGATCTGTTCTAATGATCGATCAGGTGATGATGATCGGTAATTGGTGTTTGCTTATGATTCATTCATTTAAGAGATATGATACGAGATTATGCGATGAGCATGTCGTGTGTTCGATCGCCCAACGTCAGAAAATATGTTTGGCACGTGCAATTATTAGAGATCCAAAAGTTTTACTGCTGGCCGATGTGACCAGCAACGTAGAAGAGGACGAGCTAGCGGTATGCTCCACTTTGCATTCGTTTCTCTCAAATTCAGTTCAAATCAACATGATCTTCCACTTTATTCCACCCATAAATTGCTTTACTTACCCAAACTGCGGGGGAAATTCGCTGGAAATTTGCAAGATTGTTGGGAATTCTTGAGGTTCTAAGTTTGAAATTTGAAAATTTTCAAAAGTTTCTCAAAATTTTCAAATTTTCCCCTGACTTCACGACTTTGCAGGATGTTCAACTTGCCATCAACAGTGTTAGACGTGGTCGTACCTGTGTGATCGCCACTGAGCGTATGGAAGAGACGGATATGGGCACTATAATTGTGGTGATGCGTGATGGGCGTTTGTTGGAGCAAGGCACCCAGGAGCAGTTGCTAAACAAGAACGGTCTCTATCGTCAACTGTATGCACAGTCACAACCATCGGGCACTAAAATCGTCGAATATTCTCGCCAAAACTACAACAATTCAACGGCAGAATCCCTTAGGAACTCTTTCAGTAAGCCAGGCAGCACTAAACAACCGGAAAACTACCACTATCCTGAATACAATCCAAAAGCGGCTAGCAACGATGGTGTTGGTAGTGTCGTGGGTATTGAGTCGATTGAAAACAATGCCTGTGCGGGGAATGAGACTTTGGGCATTCCTCCGGAAATGAAACAGACATTCTATGATAAGCCATCGGAGCGGGAGCAGCAGTTCTCAAGCAATTCAGGATGTCCAGAATCCGTGGAACAGACCCTTGACATATCCCCAGACATCAAACAGAAGCCATCAGAGCAACGGCAATATGCAGGATCCACTGAAGTGACCCTAGACCTTTCCCCAGATATAAAACTGCAAACATTCTCTGAAAAAGCCGAGCAGCAACAACCATCAGAGCTGCAATACTCTAAACCAGTACAACCACAAAAACCAGAGCAAGACTACAAAGGCGGATATCGTGAATGCACGGAACAAACTCGCGGCGAATTATCTCCAGATATGAACCAGCAGATGCTTTTGCATTCCAAGACACTGGAACAGGAGCAGTATTCAGAATCATGCACTGATGACAATCTCAGCTATTCTTCTGACATGAAGCAGATTTCGTATGAGCGATCGCCGGAACACTCGTCAGCGGACTTTTCAAACCGAAAAGAGTCATTCTTCGACGCACCTTTGGATCAATATCCTAAATCACAACAACACGACAACTATCAATATGCCAGTGAACAGAGTATCCGCCTTGCATCCCACATGAAACCGTATGAAGAGGAGGACGAACAACCTAGTGAACGACAACAATTGCTGCTACAAGAGTACCCCGAATCCGGTTCTGAGTTGTCTACTGCTTCAAATCAAAAACCAGCGGTTTTGCCTAAACCAGCGGTTTTACCCAAATCAGCGGTTTCACCTAAACTAGCCCAATCTAATCAGTTAGATGCTGACTTCTCATCTGCTTCTTCAATTCAAAGACATTCTGATCTATCGCTGGGTCCGAGACGTTCTATCCTACCACTGGATCAGTTTGAGCTGGAGGATGACGACGAAATGGGTGGTTCGATTTGAGGTTACGCACACTCGAAATCGCTAGCCTGAGCACATATCTAGGATTCAGGGGGCTGAGTTCTTCGGGAGTTTCGGCTTTGAGGGCTATGTATATAGCTTATAGGAGATAAAAGAAATGAGGCTTAGACTTGATATGGACCGGCTAACCCAGAAAATTTAGTAACGAGTATGGTCTAGTTTGGTTTAGTTGTCAAAAAAGGTTAAAAAATTGAAAAGAGAGTGCTCTGGCTAGAAGAATTTGATGCAGTCTGATGCGATTGTAGAGTGTGACCTGCAAATTTTATGTAATAATTACATTAATAATTATTTAATTCACGATGTTATTTACCACTTGCTTTTTGTGTCAAACTAACTTGTGATGTGTATATGTAACAAAATAGAACAAAATGCTTTGAATCGGTTGGTGCATGTGCTATTTTTGACCGTTGAACAACATCAATACGGTGTGAAGGACGCCTGGTTATGGAATATTCGGAAAAAATTGCAAAAAACACCGAAAATTCGCATAAAAATTGAAAAAATTCGAAAAATTTGTGAAATAGTATGGTGTTTCGAAGAGACGCCAGAGAAACGGAGAAATTCTGGCTTTCAATGTGGCAGCGGGTGACTACGAACCCACCGCCCATTGAGTGCAGCCGGACAAGGCGACCCACGCAGAACCGAGATCCAGTGAAGAGACGCCAGAGGGAGAGAGGAGTTTTGGTTTACGTCGTGCAGGCGAATGCTGCAAAACCCGCCGGTCATTGGCTTCACGCTTACACAAAGCAGGACTTCGGGGCGAATGTGCTGTTTATCGAAGTGGTCTGGGGGTTTTGTACCTCTCGTATGCCTTGCCTTGTGGTTTGGGGTTGGAGGGGGTTAGCGGCGTTGTGAGTTGTGTTCAAATTGCATTGGAGGTTCCTGGAGTGATTTGTTTGGGTGCTGTAATGTGGGGTCTGGCAACGTTCCAACGGATTGGTGGTTGCGTCCTCATTGATCATTGGTGTTAGTAACGCAATTTGCGTTGTCTGGGCGAATTCAGCTTCTTTTTTCAGCATTTTTTTTGAAAGTCTTCATTGGTTTAATTGTGTTTATTTTGTTTGTTGTTGCACAGATTTTGTTGCTTGCTAGACGTAGATTGATCTGCTTTCTGGCGTGATTTCAGTGGACTAACAACTCACTGGGCCGAGTAGAATTTGTGTAAACTACCGGCCGCCTGGATTACCTGGATAATCCGGGTAATTTCTATGTTTTACTGTTTTTTGTTGATATTTGTCGTACTTTGAAGAGAATTATGAAAGAAATTTATGTGTGCGTGTGTTTCTATTTTAAGTGAACGCCGTTTTTGCTTTTGAAAACCAATTCAACAAGTTGGTGCACATTTTGAACAAATATTACTTGTTCATGATATTCACTTCACTTTCGCGAAGTAGTCACAAAGAAGTGGCAGTCGAGAGTTATGATGTCGGGTTTTCGTGGTGGGACCAGACAGAAGCTATAAAATTCACTCCCCGACAAACTCACCCGCCTTGAGCGTCTCACCTATTCTCCGGACAATTGGTCGGTGTCAAGTGAGCATTTTTCAGTTACAATCCATTTTTTGCCGAAAATTTTTGAATTTATTTTTGCGGAAACGTCGTGAACTTCGGTTTGGCATTGTTTTCGTTGTGAACATAATGGGATTGGATGTGATGTTGTGTGGCGAATTGATGTTTATAGAAGTGTTATTGAGATGTGCATTTGTTGGTGATGTGATGTAATGTGGTAATGATATATATTATTTGTAGTGCGTTGTTTGTTGTTTGAGTGTGTTATTGGAGACAGAGCTGAGCACGACAGAGTCTCGTTATTTCGATATCGTCAACGAGACTCTAGTCGTGATTCATAGTGTCTGTCACAGGTATTGATTGGTCTGCGTTCACATTCATTCGCTAGTAAAATAATGGAATAATAAAGTAATAAATATATAAGGGTTTACATATGAAAGAATTTACATATGTCGTGTGCCTTGCTTATCGGTAGAATAGATAAGGAACGGGTAAAATAGTTTAATGATAGTGTTCTGTATAGTTGATTTGATTTGTCAGTTGTTGTGTTTATTATTTGTGGTTTTTTTGATTTATTAATTATCATTATTAATAATTTCAGGTTGGAGATGGAATCGGGCACAAAAAATTGGTTCTTCAATCGACAAAGTGATCAGTTTATGTGTTGCAATGGGAAATTGCATTCGAAGGTTCGGATTTTTTTGAAATTTTCACGATTCATAATAATAATTATTATATGTATATGATAATAATAATAAATATATTAGTGTAGATGTATAATAGTAGTATAAAGATAAATGTTTCAGACTGCCTCATTGCTGATAGCCCTCAGTGGCAGTTGCCTCTGTATGGGTTTATTTTTAATAATATCACTGCAACAACAATTTGTATTAATGAAACATTATTTAATATATATTTATCTATTATTATTTATTATTGCCTTCATTTTATTAATTGTTGCGATCAGACTGGAGAAGCACATCTTACTGATGCCATACATCGCATTTTCGGTGAGTTTTTTTAATTGTGCTTATTATTTATTATTATGTATAATAATAATTGTAAAAATTTATATATATATATATATAATAGTGTATTTCAGGTGTTGAATGTATTTTTTTGTATAATAATAATGTTCTTATCGCTGTGGACGTTGACGAGCGGTAAATCGACGCCGTCGAAATATTTGGCAGAAAATATGAAGGAAGACGACGGCGTAAAGGATATTTTGAAGCAATATTTAAATGGAGATGAGATCGATAGAGATTTACATCAGAAAGGTAGGAGAATTTTTGATTTTTAACAGTACATAATGAATATTTTAATGGTTATCTATTATTTCATAAATGTAGTGTTGTCATTTTGTGTTTCAGTGACGGTTCTGTTGGCGTGTTTCACGTTGGCGACAGCCGTCATAGCAATGACGGCCTTTTTGTACAGTTCGAGGGTGGTGTATCAATGTTACCAGTACTTCGAGGCTCATCAGAAAGCGAAGAGAATGGCCGAGGCAATCTCCGAGATCGAACGAAGTCACGAAATTTGATTTATTTTGGTGAAATTTTTTGGAAATTACGAAAAATTTCTCATTATTTTAATGTTTATTTCGTTTGTACATGTATATATATTTTGTACAGATTGTATTAAGTGTTGTTGTATTGTCGTATCACCATTGTTATCATCGCCGTGCCTTTAATAACTTATTTTGTGCTGGAATTATTGTATATAATATGAAATTTACTCGTTCACTTATTGCGGTTATTAATTAAAATTGCTGTTTGATAAATTAATTGAATAAAAAGGTGCAATTATTTTGAGAAGTTGGAACGTACACTGCAAACAGATTTGGGAAATGATGTATATAAAATATTAAAAGGTAAATAGTTTAGAGGAATTTTCAAAAAAAAATTCAAAAATAAGCGCGAAATTTGCAAAGTTTCGCAAAAAAAGTGATCGTCGTGATGGCACATAGCCGATACAGTAAGAAAACAATCGTTTCGATACGCAGGAAAAACAAATGTGAACCAAAATTGGGTATTGGGCTGCGAAAGTTGTATAGAGTTCGGCTCATTCGCAGCTCAAAATTCGATTTAAATTTGAAATTTAAATTTTAGGTCTCAACACGATTGTTAGCACTACGGTAGTTGGCTGTATGCCAACATTCGCACTGCATTTATAGTGAGTTGTTGCATTATCGATAGTGATTAATGAAAGTTGGTTTAAAATGGCTGTATGGATGTTTTTTTTGCGTTTTTTTGCGGGTTTTTGCTGAAATAGGTAGAAAAAGAGCTAAAGAATAGTTTAGGGTCGTTTTCCAGCGAAATTCCAAGGTTTAGACGTCGAAAATGGTTTTGGAATGCGCGCCATGTAAATGTTTTTGATCTCTTATTTTTTTCGGTGTTGTTATTGATCAAGGAAAAAAGCAATCAGACATTGTGTATATATTTGTTTGTGACGGGAGTGTCAGTTCATTGGTGAGCGTAGTAATTGTAACGTGCGGTTGTTTATTTTACGATTGCTTTTACTTGTTAGTAGCACGATGATGCGTTCATTGCGAGCGTAAATGTGGTGCTGTGCCGCTGTTTATTTATTCGATTATAGCTTTTTTTAATGCACATGAGTGGGTGATTAGTTATTTAGGAATTGTGGAATGGAATGAGTGATATAAAGTGGATGTATAGTGTTATCGAGTATTCACCAATAAATAATGCAGCGAACAGGAGCAGTGCCGACTGCAAACTTCACACACAGTTCGCAGGTGCGCATTTTGTGTTTGTCATAGCGTATTGCTTAGTAATGTTAACTCAATATTTATTATTTACTCAGTGTGATTATATTTACAGTTTTGTTTACGCGTTGTTTATTGATTAGTTTTGGTGTTGGGAATTTCAGGTTTGAGATGGGTTGTTGTGTTGGAAATGTGATGGGATATTTTTAGTATTTGTATTATTATTTATATAATAATAATGAGTGTCGAGCCGAATCAGACAACGAACGAATTGACTCTGGTGGATTATTTCGTTGTGGTGGGTTATGACAGCGCGGTCGGATTGCAAGTTTGCGGAGTTTTTGTTGTTGTTTTTATTGTTTAGTTTGTTGTTTACTTTTATTGTTTTTTGGTGTTAATTTATTGTTATTATTGTTTATTTTTGTTATTGTTAGGTGGACAATAATGGGAGTGAATGTGGTGCAGCGTCAGGTACGAGTTCGGGTAGTGGAGCTGGGATGGGGAAGGATCATTTGATAACGCCACCGTTGGAGAGGTGTTATACGGCATCGATTCTGATGCATTTCCCGGAGAAACGGGCAGGAATGGCATTCCCATCGGAAATTGTATCGGTAAGTTGGGCATTTTTTGGTTTTTCTTGTTTTTTGGAATGAAAAAGTTGGTGTTTTCATGGGGAAAGTGGGATTTTTGAGAAAATTTTTTTCGGATTCGATTTATTTATTGGTTTGTTTTGTGAATGTTGTGAAAATTTGAGTTGTGTATGCCGAAAGGACTGAAGTTTTACACGCAAAATGACGTGCCGCAGCCATCAGTACATACATTCGCGAATATACGAGAGGACGGGTCGAGATTGAATGGGTGCGCGTTGATTTATTACGAGGTGAGGCGGATATTTTTTTAGAATTTTGATATGAATAGGTTTATAATGGTGTATTTTAGAAGGTTTATGATATGAGTTTGTGTGAACGAATCAGCGAACTGCAAACGGAACATATTCGGGCGTTGACTGAGAAAAGGGCCGACAAACGGGCGTCAGACAGGACGCACCTACCTCCTGGAACGATCTCGGGTGGCACGCATACATTGCCGAGGGGTTCAAGAAAGGTTGTTTTTATTGTTATTATTTGCTATTTATTATTATTGTATAAATTTGAAGGATCGTGCGAAGAGGATTTCATACTACGACGCATGTGGTGGATCGCAGTTATATGTGTCGAAATGTCTGTGTATTTTGAGTCGAATAGCAATAGTATCGTGTGGTGAATTGATTATAACGACACTTCATTCGATATTCACATCGCCAAATCAGCCTCCAGAACTGCCATTGGAGTCGTATATATATTGGGTGATCAATGAGGTGGGTATTTTTTTGGTTTTGTAGTGGTTTGGTTTGTATTTGATGGGTTAGATTCGGGAATAAGTTTGTAGTGAACGTGGAGATGAATTTTTGGGAAGGTTTGGGAAGTTCCCGGGGAGTTTACAGGTAGCTTTTAGAGGGTTTTTGGAGGTTTTTGTGGAAATCTTGGGAAATCTTTGGAGGATTTTGGGAATTTTTTAGAGATTTTTGATATTTGACACCGCGTTGGGTATTGAGATTGTGATTTAAATGATTTTACCCATTTCAGGTTCCGCTACCCGCGCCGGGAAGCACCCTGAAGGTGGGTATGTGCGGGGTGGACATTGTGCTGCAACGACCGGCACCCGGGGAATTGCCGTTTTTCGACTATTCACTGCGATCGTTGTTCGATTTGCTGACAGTGGATAAATTCTTGAAATTGTTCACGTGTTTCTTGCTGGAACACCAGATTTTGTTGTGCTCGAAATGTGAGCTTTTTGGATTTTTTGATATTTTAGTGATTTTTAGATTTTGATTATATTATTTGATTATGTTTGTTGTTATTATTGTTTGTTTTCGTTGTTTATTAGTGTTAATTATTGTGAAAATAATGGAGAATAATTGTTATTGTTGTGATATTTTGTAAAAATAGTGAATAATTATTGTAAAAACAATGAAGAATTAGTGTTATTTTTGTGATTTTGTGTAAAAATAATAGAGAATTTCAGCTCTATCGCGTCTAATGCTGGTCGCGGAGAGTCTGTGTGCGCTGGCATTCCCGTTCAGATGGCAACTGACCTACGTACCAATTCTGCCCTATTCCCAGTTGAAGTTCATGGAAGCACCGGTGCCTTACATAATGGGATTGTGCTACGAGGAGTGCATTCCCGAGCAGATTTTTCAGGTAATTTCCCTGATTTTCAGGTGGTTTTTTCAAGTTTTGGGTAATTTTTGGGAATTTTCATTGTTTTTGTGTGAATTTTAGTCAAACGTTTGTGTGTTGGACATCGATAGGGGTGAGCTGGACATGCCTGAGGATGTGCCGCCATTGCCAGATCGCAGTGAATTCGCAAGGGAGGTGGCAAACGTGTTGATTAGGTCGGGTTTGTTATTATTATTGTTATGGGTTATTATTTGCCATTATTCATTGTTATTTAATTGCAGATTCGACGTGGACAATAATAAGACTAAGGCAGACAATGCTGTCGGCGGCAGCACGTCATCACCGCAGAATTGCCCCCGGACCTATGGCACCAGCCCATACACTCGCCAAAAATCGACCAGATCCACCAAAGACGACTGGCAATCGAAACGCATCTCGAGATCGTTCGATGATGACGTCATCACTGGGACGATGACGTCATCACCTTATTTTGGAGGCAATGGGGCGTATGGTGGCGGAATGGACGGAGCTTACAGTGGAGGAATACCGTCGAAAGCGGATCTACAACCGTTACCGTTGGATGATGTGCTGAAACAAAGTGAGGTGTTGGCGAGGTGGGGAATTTTTTGAATTTCAGATTATTTTTATTGTCAAAAAGTTAAATTTAGGTTGACGGATCCATTTTTTTAAAAATTGATTCGATGACGTCTTGAAAATACAGTGCCGATTGCCTGATTATAATATCAAGGAAGTGAGATATAGGGGTGATGATCGAGGTTGTCGAATCGATTCGACAACTTCGATCATGACAGCAATAATATGCGCATTTGAGAGTGGCAGCGATCGTGAGACGTGCGGGAGTGGATGTGAAGATGGAGAACATTGAGAAGGAGTTGCAATCGAACGACTCGTATACGAATTCGCCGATTTGCAGACGATATTTTAAGGTTTGTTCGTGTATTTTTTTTGAATTATTTTTTGATTTCATGTCAGAATTTTGATTGGGTACCACAGAGATCCGGAACTATTTTAGAGCACTTTAGTGTCGATTGCCCGATAATAGTAGTGATAAGAACATATCAAGAAAGTGAGAAATCGAGGTAGTGATCGAGTCGATTCGACGACATATCATAACAGTAATAATAACGGTGTGTATCGATCATTAGTGAAGTCGGCCCTTGTATGTTGATGATATTGATGATAAAGATAAATGAGGCGGGTGATCGAAGTTGTCGAATCGATTCGACAACTTCACTGATGAAGTCGACAACTTGATGATACTAGTAAGTTGATATGGTAGTGTCGAGCATAATAACAATATGAATTAAAGGAGATGAAGTTGAACCAAGCGATCCGCGAGGTTTTTTTGAATCGATTGTGTTGGTTGTTGTACTCGTACGAGCATTTCGTGATCGTGTCGTCGCACCTGGCCAGTAAACAACTCTTCTACGACTCGGTGACCAATTTCGACAAGGCTGCCTTCCTCTCCGACCAGCCAGATAGCAATCAACCCTTCATGGCTGCCTTCCTGGAGACACAGGTGCGAGATTATTTTACGGGAAGGGGACTTGTTCATGCATTAGATGGAATTTTAGAGGGCCAGTAGATGGAAATTTAGTGCGGTTTGTTGTGTGGATAAGCTGTGCTGGGGGGTTTCAGGTTGAAGTTTTTGGATGGAAACTTGATTGGAGTGATTATTTTGGGCGATAGTGGTAATGGTGATAACCAAGTGGTAAGGTAATGAGCGTTTTCAGATGTTCACGTCGTTCATTGATGCGAAAATAGTATCGCAATGGGAGAATTTGGATGAGAATCTGGCGATATTCGATAGCAGATTAGAGGCGTTGAAGGAGAGGTATGGCTTGCAGATGGTGAGAACTCCGACATACGAGAAGGCGTTGCCTTTTAACGTGGCTGGTTGGTTTGTTTTTGTTTAGTTTGTCTTCAAAATGAGGCCGGCAATCGAAGTTGTCGAATCGATTCGACAACTTCGATCATCAAGTCGAGAACTTCATACTAATAAAAATATTGATTGAAGGAGATAAGTTGATGGCTAAAATATTAATTTTGCTGTTTATTCATCGTTTGTCATTGTTATTTATTATTATTTGTTATTATTATTTATTACTATTATTATTATTATTAATAATTATTATTATTATGGTTGTGTGGTTTAAGAAGAGGCGATCGCGAAACGTGAGGAATCGTTGGATTACATTGTGCCACAACCGCACGCGTTGCCGGGTGCGGTGCGTAAGTGTTATGAGGGCGTGTTCCCGGAGGTGAACAGCCACATCCTGGAGGGAAATCTGGCCTATAGTAGCCCTCTACCGTCACCGTGGAAACAGAGACATAGACGACTGAGACCGAAACATCAGGAGGTGTGGTATTTTTATTTTATTATTATTATTGTTATTTATTGTTGTTATTATTGTATGTAATAAAGGACGAGGGAGTTATGTTTCAGAATGTGCAAGCGAATGATCCGCAAGGGTCGACAGTTTCTGCGGGTGGCGGTAGAGCGTCGAGTACGACGTATATCGCAGACACACCGAAGCAGATCGCACATCAGAATTTCAAATTTGTGGAGCAGTTGTTGAAGGAGACCAAAGGTGAGTGGAGAGAGACAGACACTCTTTGTGTTATTATTATTGTTGTTAAAGGTAAAACAAAGAGAATGTTAGTGGAGAAGATGGGAAAAGAGGCTCTGCAGTTGGGTCATGCAGAGGCGTCGGTGAACGGTCTCGAAGAGAATACGTTGGTGGCATCGTTTTGCGATTTGCTGGAGAGGATTTGGGCACATGGATTGATTAAGAAACAGGTTTGGGTGGTTTTAGTTGTTATTTTTATTTATGTATTGAATTGTAGGGGAAGTCTTCACTGTGGGCGCATGTGCTGCACCATCAGGAGCTGGAGAAGTCGGGCGCGGTGGCGAGGACGGCATTCGTGAGGAATTCGATGCTGACACCAGGTGGGGTTGCTTTTAGTTGCGTTGATATTGTGTTATTATTATTTGATTTGGTATTATATGAAGTGATAACAAGTGATATTGGGCTGTATCTTTTATTATTAACTATTAAGCGCTAGCGTGGCTGGTCTTACGACGAAGATTTGAACGTTAGAATGATTTATTTGATTCGAGTTTTGTGTTGTATTGTTGTTGTTTTTATTATTATATATTATGTTATGTTGCGTATGGTAGAGCTTGTGTGTGCTTATTTGTGATTGTGTGGTTGTTATGAGATGGAGACTGATAATTGTGGTACCCCGGCTTTATTTTATGGAATTATTTTTAATTTCAGGTCTGGTTTTTTTGAATTATTTTTGATTTCAGGTTTAGTTTAGTTGTTGTATGTAGTAATGTGATAGTTTAGGGGTTTAGAGTAGTAAACAAAAGGATTGATATTCGTTTGTGATTATTTTTATTATTGTTATTGTGACTAATATTATTAAAAGTATCATTGTTAGGATATTTATTGTTATACTGATGTAGTGGGGTTGTCGTGAATTGTATTATGCTATTATATTGCATCTGCTGGGTGTTTGATGTGTGAATTTGTAGTTTGTATCTTATATCATAATCCGTTGATTTTTTATCAATTGACCAGATTTAATTAACACTTTTAGCCGTCCAATATGCTGACGATTACCAATATTACAACAGCAGCTGCAACGAGATACAACGCCCGATTGGGGCAGGCGGCAGACGAGAGAGTTTCGGGGGCGGAGGTTTAGCCACAGGGAGGGATAGAAACGCAGAGGAGTGGGAGGGGCACGAGCTGGTAGATTTGAATGGAAATAAGAGCGGAAAGAAGAACGTACTGGCGGAGTTGGCTGAAATGATACAGGAGGAGTTTAGTAATTACGCGAATAATCAAGGCAAAAATTGTAAAAATAATAATGATAATAATATACATAACGATGGAAATATGGGTGGTAATAAGGCGGGTGGCAGCAATTTGGGCACGAGACCGGGTGGTGATAATAATAATGTACATAATAACGAAGATACTGTGAGTAAAGTTGGGGCGGGGCCGGGCGCTTCGAGACCCCCAGCTCCTCGAGCCGGAGCGGGTCAAGGTCAAGACCAGGCTTGGAATTCGTCGATGGTGGTGGCGCTAGGTTCGGTGCCAGAACTAGGGGTGGAGGGCTCGTGGGCACCCGCGGAGCCGCCTGCGTGGTCGGTGCAGATTCTGCGGGCGGCGAATTTCATCTGCGATAAGTTGGCGGGCGCTTCGGGAGCTTCAGGAATAGGACTGCAACAGCGGACAACGCCTAGGAATCAGTCTACGTACTACAACGATCAAGATCAAAGAGCAGATGAGGCAGGGTACGAGCGGCAGAATCGGGCAGGTTACAGCAGCACGGATTCGAAGGAGCAGCCGGTCGTGCAGAATTGTAGTTTGATCGAGGCGGGCAACGAAACTGGCGAATCGGCGGCGAGCAGAGGTCAAACTACAAGTTTGGCGTCGGTGACGTCATCGTTTGCAATATTAAGAAGGTCGAGTTCAATAAGGAACATCAAGGCGCCGTCATTTCTGAAAAATGCCAACTTTATGACGAAAGGTGACGAGAGGGGTCGTAGGAGACCGATTATTTTGCATAAGGCGAATTCACTGAGTGGTGAGTTTATTTATTATTATTTATTATCATCAATGTTATTATTTATTATTGTTATTATCACTAATAATCGTGTGTCTTTTATATTAACGATAATAGTATTTGTTTTAGTAATAATAATTCCATTTGTATGTTCCATTTGTAATAATAACAAAAATAATATCCTGGTACGTTGTTTTGCCCTTATTCGGCTACGTTTTCCGTTTGAAACAGTCGCACGCGTCCCGGGACGCCGCTCTGCCCGCGTAATCTGGCGTGCGCGGGCAGCATTGTGGGGGTGCGCGCGATTCGCCAAACGGGCAGTGTGCCAACTAGTGTTTGGGATATTATTTGTATTGTTTCGATTGTATGTCGTTATTGTTTTTATTAGTAATGTTATTGTTTATTATTGTTATTATTTATTATTGTTATTTGTTATTGTTATAACACGCCTGAATCAGAGTGAACGTGTATGCATGCGTTGTAGTATTAATGATGGCTTGCATGTTATGTTTTAATAATAATATTATTAATAATAACAAAAATAAGTGTAGTAATAGAGTGAATGTCTTTTTCGGTGTGTTGCGTATAGCAACGGTTTAAAAGTAATAATAATTATCATTGCATGTAATATAATCGGTATTTTTATGTATATTAATAATTATTATTATAACATGTGATATGAGTAATGGTAGCTTTGCTTAATTAACACGTATGGATAATCGTACGGCTTTTTAGAGTGTTTTGTACGCTGATGGTTTGGGTTGTGAAGTTTTGTCATTGTGTTTATTGTTGTTATTTATTATTTACTGTGAAGTTTTAGATTTTGCTCCGCATTGGAGCTCAGGAAGTGGAGCGAATTCTAGTGACTCCACACCGGAGACTGGCGGTGGGTCCCCGCGCAAGAGGAGTGGATCGAGGGCGCATAGTCCCGATCCTAAGCAGGGACTTCCAGCCCTTCCGATGCATATAGCGTACGATCTGAGGTGGGTGGTTATTACTGTGGTTGTTTTATTATTATTTCTTATTGTTGTTATTATTTATTGTTGTTGCAGAAATGTGCTGCGAATGACAGATATCAAAACAGACATAGGATACGCACGCGCGTTCGTGCGGTTGGCTCTCGAACGGAAGTTGCTACATAAGCATTTGAAGACGATTTTGAGTAACACAGCGCTATTACAGTGAGTGGTTTTGTTGTTTATTTGTCATTACTTTTATTGTTATTATTTTATTGTGTTTATTGTTGTTGTTGTTGTTATTGTTATTGTAATGTTGCAGACAAATTTATAAACGGTATGCATTCGTTCGATGTGACGACGAGAAGGAACAGTTTCTTTATCATATCCTGTCGTTGAATGCAGCGCAGTTCCGGTGTTTCACAAATACTTTTACGAAAACGAGTTGGTTTTGTTTATTTTCACTGTTATTATTTATTGTTATTGTGGTATTTATTATGGTATTATTGATGCAGAGATGCAGTATCGTGTGTTGTTGGTGAGTGGCAATACGAGATCGGTACTGAGCTCGCCGATATGGGTTCTGATCGCAGGGTCGTTGTGCTCGACGACGTTGATAGATGTGAAACCTGGGGTGATGGATTTTAAGTTTGATGTGGGTTTATTATTTATTGTGATTATTTGTTGTTGTTGTTAATGTGCCGTTGTACATTGAATTCGGTTGTGTTGCAGCACAAAAATCTGGGTATTTTATCGACACTGAGAATTGGGCACTCGCTGGCGTCGTTGAGCAATGGCGTGCCACCGAAGTGGTTTTTGGATCATGTGGGTTTTTGTTTTTGTTATTGTTATTTTTTATTATTATTGTCGTCATGATTTGAATTAAGGTAATGGTGAGGAATGAGGTAACTGGTCAGACGTATCGTTTCATGTGTGGACGGTGGTTCGGGAGGGGGGTGGACGATGGCTCACTGGAAAGGTTATTGGTGGCAGAGATATTGCCACAGGTTGGGTTTGGGAATTTTTTTGATTTTTTGGGGATTTAGGATGATTTCAGGTGAAAATGTTTAATTTAAGGTTGACCCAGATGCGGAGGTATTGATGGAGGGCGGATTTGTGGAGAGAGGCGGCTCAAAAGCGCATAGTAGATCGAGGACACCACCACGCGCGCGGTCGCCGAGTGCGACGCGGTCGGAGGCGCTTAAGACGAAATCGAGTCGGTTTTGGCTGATATTTTAGTTGCTTTTGGCATAGTAAGAATAGATATAATAAATAATATATAATAATAATAATGAATATTAATGTAGTTTGTAGTTTGATGTGTATTTTGGTTTTTCAGGAAGCCGGCTGACGGAAATTCAACAGCAGCTGGGTGAGGCGGTGAACGGAATCGTGAAGTATTTCTACAGTTCGGATACGAAGATCAGAGATCAAACTACAGCGCCGATGATATCCAGCTCGAGCAAGAGTGAACTGACGCAGTTGTTGTGCGCGGCCGATAAGGGTAAGTAGATTTTTAATTGTAGTTTGTGTTGTTTTTATTATCATTATTGTTGTTATCATATATTAATTTTGTGTTTGAGGTTTTGTAAGCGTAATGGTGAACGTGTTCTTGTACGGACGTCAGGTGGACTCAATTTGGTCGGGTCGATTCAATTTTAAGCAGCAGTACCCGTGGGATTATATTGGTTAGTTTCATTGTTGTTGTGTTTATCATTTATTGTTGTTTATTATTATTTATTGGTAGATATAGTGCAGTAACAGTGGAGTTTTAGAGAAGGTGTGCGTGTGGTTCTACGAACTGATTCGAATGGAGGACGCGAAAAAATTGACCAGAGAGCAGAGGTCATTGATATCGCAGGCGTGCAGACTGGTCAGGAGAATTTCAGCGAATACAAATTTAGGAAAGGACGGGAAATTCCAGTTGTTTATATTGGTGACATTGAGGTGGGTGGTATTGTTATTGTTTATTTTTATTGTTATTTGTTATTATTGTGGTATATTTACTATTGTTTATTGTTAGGTTGTTATTATAAATGATGTTCAGGGATCACGTTTTGTCGGGTTTGATTCCGTTGATGGCATGGACCCCGGTGACCACGCAGCTCTATGATGAGCCATCGTTTTTGAGGACACCGCATTATTTGACGTACCTGTCGAGATTGCTGAATTCACTTAACGAATTTCATTTCGACCTCGAGAAATCGTTGACGTATGGCATTGAGTAGTGATTTTAATTGTTGTGTGTATGTGTTGTTGGTATGATTATTATTATTGGAATATTAGTATTGTAGTAATTGTAATTATTTTTAAATGTCAATTTTTGCAGAGGTATTTAGTCATAATTGTGAGCGGATGTGGTCCTGTTTCGTATTATTTTTATTGATTCGCACGATATTTATGTTTATGTTTACCAGTTGCGTTATTTTGCTCAACGTTCCACATTTAGTGAACGCAATTTGTTTGGATTTATATTTTGGCAATATTATTATTTTTATTTGTTTATTATTCTTATTATTATTATCGTTTTGAATATGCATGAAAAACTGCATAAGAATTTCGCGTATAATACATTACATTATATGTTTGATAGTTTGGGTTTTTTTAGTATTTGAAATGTGAAATCAGATAGTCATATAGCGATATCTGACAGTGGAGTGTACTTTTAATATTGATATTGATATTATGATTATTGTTATTATTAATGACCTATTAATTTGTGACATTGAATACTTACATTACTAGTATTACTATTTTTAATCTCATTCTGAAATATAAAATGTATAAATGAACATTTTTCGATGTATTTGTGACTTATTCTTTGATATTAATCATGCGAATCGAATTGTCGCTAAGAAAATATCTTATTGAAACGTGTAAAATTGAAAATTTCAAACTTATTTTTGATTAACAACTGAAAATAGGTGTAAAGAGTGGTGGGGATAGAAAGAGTGCGATATTTCGACCAGTTGTCTCCGGGTATTTCTCCGGGGTCAACTGGTCGAAAAATCGTTCAACAGGATTGGGTGATTTTCTGACCAGTTGCTCCCGAGGAAATGCCCAGGGACGACTGGTCGAAAAATCCCATTTTTATATTTTTGGGTTTAGTGAGCGAAAATATTTTTTATTTTTGTTGTTTTATTTATTTATTATTATTGTTACTATTTATTTTAGGTATACAATAGTTATTTTGCTCGTATTTCGCATAATCATTCAAAAAATTTGGGTATATAAGAATTATATTTTATTAAATGCGATAAATATTATATAAAGTAGTAAAGAGAAATAATTTAAAGTATTATTTATTATTATTTATTATGATTATTATTGTATATTATTAATATAGATAATAAATAAATGGAGAATAAGGCCACGTCAGTGTCATTGCGTGTTGGCTCAGCGTGTGCCTTCGGCATTAGCTCGATTTTGATTGTTTTCGTCAATAAAATATTGCTGACGAATATCGGGTGGGCATTGGAATTTGTATTATTTATTGTTCTTTATTATTATTTGTTGTTATTATTATGTATTTTTGTTGTATATATATAATAATTATGATGAATATTAAAGATTCCCATCATTTTTGTGCGCTGGAATCGGGCAGATGCTGGCCACAATAGTGATTTTATTTGGTGCATCGAGTTTGGGGTTGATTAAGTTGCCGATATTTGATAGGTCGATTGCGAGAAAGGTTTGTTTTTATTGTTCATTTTTATTTATTGTTATTATTCATTAGTATTTTTTATTGCTTATTGATATTGTTTATTTTTATTGTGAGCGAATTTAATTGCAGATTTTTCCGTTGCCGTTGATTTATGTGTTGAATTTGATATCGGGTCTTGGAGGGACGCAGAAATTAAAGTGAGCATTATTTTTATTTGTTTTGGATTATTTTTTATTTGTTTTTATTATTTATTATTATTGTTTATTATTATTATTTATTATTTTTGTTAATATTATGAATGTCAGAGTATTGCAGTTTGCCGATGTTCACAGTGTTGAGGCGATTTTCGATTCTAATGACGATGCTTTTGGAGTATTTTATATTGGGGTTAGTATTTAGTATGTTTTTCGTTATTGCAGTATTTTTTATAGTAGCAAATATTATTGCGATGGATAATTGCAGTGTTTTTAAGGGTGAAAGCACCGAATGTAGTTCGAATCTCGGTTGGTTTGATGATATTGGGGTCGGTTATCGCAGCGATGTGGGTTTATTTGTTGTTCATTTGTAATATCGATTGATTTTGACCAGCAAAATTCCGATTTGGCGCTCTTAAATGCGATCATTTTATCATTGATATGATATGAAGAATGCGTTTGGCGCTAGAATTTTGTTTTTTTTGATATATAAGTTAATGTAGAGAAGAGAGAGAGAGGGCGGTCAAATAATGTTGTGTACAAAAAAACAAAAAAACAGTGACGTGTACAGTGACAGTGAAGTATATAAGGTGTGCAGATGGAATCCAGTTCAGTTTTGTCGTTTGTGGTGCTGGTGAGCGGTCGGGTTGGTTTGGTTGAGAGTTGTGTGGCTTGGTTGTTCTTTGGTTGGGTTATGTACTGCGATTTGTGTTACATATTGTGTATTCGGTTTGGTATATAGGGTGTGGTTTGTGGTGCTGGTGAGGGGAGTTGTGTGGTTTGGTTATTGTTGGGTTTGGGTTATATTGTATTTTGAGTTATTATGGGTTGGGCATGGGGTTGTGTCATATAGATTATACTGTGTTTTGGGTTGTATTGTATTAATTATTATAGTTATGATTTGTCATTCGATGCATATGGATATTTTTTAATACTAGTGAACGATATCTGTACAGCTGCGAATGGTGTGTACATGAAACAGAAACTTGAAGCGAAAGTGAGGATATTTATTGAGTTATTGTTTATTTTTGTTTATTATTATTATTATTATTATTGTGTATATGGTGTAATGAGGTGGAATTTTAGGAATTAGGGAAATATGGTTTATTATATTACAATGCGTTGTTTATGATTATACCAGCAATATTATTGGCGGCATGCACTGGGGAGTTTGAAAAGGTTTTGTTTTTATTTTTGTTATCATTTTTTATTATTGTTATTTATTATTGTTATTCATTATTGGTATTTATTATAAATGTTACAGGTGTCGGAATATATTGAAACGAACAGTGTGACGATACCACTGGTGATTTGCTTTTTATTATCGTGTTTGTGTGGGTTTATTTTAAATTATTCGATAGTGTTGTGTACGCATTATAATAGTGCGTTGACGACGACGTGCGTTGGGCCGATAAAGGTTATTTTGTTAGTATATTTATTTGTTGTGAATTAATGTTTTTAATTGGTTAGGCTTGGAATAGGATTGATCATGTTGATAGAGGGCTGTTAAGTGTGGCCGGCTATAGTGCGCGACTGTGGGCGGGGCTGAACCGTTGCGACAGCAGTGGTGACGCGGTTTTGGCGAATGTGCTATGTGGGGTTGGGGATAGGACCCGCCCACGTGCGTGCACGCGAGAGCGTGCTGATATTATAATAATATAATAGATATTATTAACTGATAATAATATAAAAATATTTCAGAATCTGTTCGTGACATACGCCGGGATGTTCTCATCAGGGGATTATCGCTTCGAATGGACGAATTTCGTTGGTATTAATATGAGTGTGATGGGCAGTATTTTATACACTTATGTGACGTTCAGATCGAAGAGGGTGGTGAGTGGAGATGTGGATAAAGCTGGTGGTGATAGTATCGATTATGTAAAGAATAATATTAATGAGGTAGGAGATAGTGAAATTAGAAAACCGTTGTTATGAAGACTTAAAGGGTTTATTATGTAGATGTATATGTGCCAGTGGATTACTTTGAATATTTATTTGATTATTCAATTGGATTCGATGAGATTGAGTAATTGGCGTGATAGAGAATATGAATTGTGAGAGTGTTCGGATCGAGTAATTCAGTGAGTTTGGTTATTATTATTTGTTTGTCTGTTTGTTTATTATTATTATTATTATTATTATTGTTGTTATTATTATTATTGATAATGTTCGCGTTAGGTTTTAATTTGATACGATGATCGTATTGCATATTGTCGCGATGCAGCATAATTTTGGTTTGAGTGTGTATAGTGGTGCTATTATTGGTATTGCAGTGGGGGCATTGCGTTGTTGTGTTTGCGTTTAGTATTGTTGTTTATTATTATTGTCATTATATTTAGTATTACTCTCATTTTTGAAAATTGTGATATACGACGACCTTAAATTGATAATTTCATGCTCTTATATGACCTTGCGAGTGCATTAAACGCGTGCGTACACAGTTTATAAATTATTTATTAATATCATTGGTAATGACGTGGCTGGATTGTATATTACAGATATATTGTGGAGAATGAAGAGGGACAGACGGTCAGAGATATGGTTAAGTAGTATAATTAATAATGGTAATAATATCATTATTATCGTGTCGAAACAATCGACGATAGCAACCAATTTTGCATGGTAATCACGAGAGACGGAACAGAAAAAAGGAAAAGATGAGAGATAACAACGGAGCGGGGCTTATTGATAAGTGGGCGGGGTTTATCCGGATCTGCGGTATTCTGTGATGTGTGGAGATCGCGGGATTTCAAATAATAATAAATTGTAACAGTAATATTAAATAGTAATAACGGTAATAGTAAGGAACAATAAATAATGAGAAGTGGTACACGCGTACGCGTACGCGCGCACGCCCACGTGATGAATATTATTAGTAATGATAAATAATCACAATGGAATGACGTAAAAAGCGGAAGCGATAATGAGAGAGATCAGAGATAAATACAAATTGATTTAATATTACAATAATAATAATAGCAAATAACAATGAATGAATATTATTAACAAATAGTAGTGATAACGGTAGCGAGAGAGAATTGGAGAAAAAAAGAAAGTAACACCGGTGTAATGATGGTGGTGGCCAGAAGAGAGATTCATACGGCGGGCGTAACTTGACAATCATAACTGCGCCGAAAAAAATAGTTCGTGCAGAATGGAGACAGGCAGAGATGCAAACGAAACCGGAGATGCAAACGTGGCGTGGCTGGCGCTCGATACAGCTTTCTGGGGCAGAGAAAAAGACGAAAAAAGGTGGTGCAGCTTTGGAGATATGAGGAGACGACAGAGGAAGAAAGTGGAATTGTTTGGAGATTAGCGATTGTGACACCCGGTTTGTTTTATTTTGTTGTTTTGCTGTGCTGCGATGCGTTGTGTTGGCATGTTGGGCTCCGTTTCTAGGCCGGAGCCCGATTGGAGCCGTTTTGTAACTTTTCAGTAGCTTCAGTGACTCCCCGGAGCCAACAGAGAACCCGTTCGGAGCCCTAATCAGCCCAGACAAGAGCCGCCGATCAGAAGGGTGTTCCCGGCCCCTCCACTGGCCAGAATCGCCGCCGGGTCCAAGCCCGTACTACCCATTTTGGAGCGCAGTTGACCTGCCATCAGTGGGTTAATGGCATAAAGCCAATCGTACATCTGAAATCATTTTTTGACTACACGCCAATTGTTGATTATTGGCTACATGTCAATATTTATTGAATATTCATCATTGGTATTACTGAATGCTGCTATTAATTATCATCGCATCCACCCTGGAAGCATGTGTGGTTACGAGGTGCGAAATCAATTGTCTTCTTGGATTCTCTCAATATATGACGGAATATTTTCACGACCTAAAATTGCAGCCTGAAATGGGGAACCTAAAATTGAGGTGGGTATTTTTTAAATTATTGTTCTTTGCTCTTTTCCCGACGTTATTTTTGCGAATATCTGTAATAATTTCGTGTGTATATACCAATAATATTGTATCATCACCCACCTGGTCATCGAGAATCTGCATTAAGAAACCACGATGATTGGTGCATACAGAGAATGTATTCGGCACCTTTAACATGGCCTGTTGATCCTCACTGTACTCAACGCGAGCGTTCGCCAGATTAATTATGCCCCGAACGACCTGAAATTAATTTTTAGGTCGGAAGGAATTTTTTATTCTGTTTTGTTGGGGCGAGCGTGTGCGCACGCGCAGTATTGTGTGGCGATGGGCGGAGCTTATTTGTCAGTGTGGCGAATATTCCGTATCTTTGTGTCTGAGTATGTGTTTTTATATGACTGAGGGTATTTTTATTGATTTGTTTAATGATACATGGGTGTAATAATAATTTTAATAAATAATATTTATAATAATAATAGATAAACGAACGAGATCGCGGTCGTCTCTAAATAGCAAAATGTACGGCCTCCTGACCACGACCCATCGTTTTATCCATCCCTGTGTCTTCTCCTCCAAGAAGTTCATATACCCTTTTTTGGACACGACCACGCCCACGCGTTCCTCCGTGACCTGAAATTAATTTTGGGAATTTTTTAATCTTTTGGGTGATGCGGTTTGAATTTGCATCATTTGCGCGTTTTGTATATTATTATTATTATTATTATTGTTATTATTATTATTATTATTATTATTAT